CTCACATCCTTTTCCTGAATGTGCCATGCGAGAAGCTCAGCGGCACGACAGCCGGAAGATCTGCCTTGGTCACTTCCTGCAGCGTCCTCGCGTCTAGGATGAGAAGGAAACTGCGGTTGCGCTCGCTGTCCAGCACGATGCTAACGAGCACGCCGTCGTCCTCGTCCTCGCTGTTGGGCGGTGACGCGGTCGGCAAACGGTCTGCCATCGAGGGAGTCGGAATGAAGAGTGGTTCGCTCGGGAAGCAGTGCGCTTGCTGCCACATTGCAGCGGTAGATTTGAGGGTTAGATCCTGGTGATGTGGAATCGAAAATTAAAACAAACATTGAAATGAGTTGTTGTGCTGATACAAACAAGGTAATAATGATAATAGAAATAACTTACAGCCTTTACAATGGAATCCCAAATTCTCCCAGGCTCGCTAATGGCCCGTTCCGATAGTCCTACCCCGTACAAATACCGGTATCTGTGTAACCTGAATCTTGGATTCACCTGCGGGAGCTCCAGCCCCCCCTCCGCCACGATCTCATAGACCGTCTCGGGCATCCACCCGTACCACCCAGCTGCAATTGAGACACTCTGTTTCTTCTCCTTGCCGGCCACGTCATCAGAGACGGGTGTGCTAGACCCCCCCATCCCGACAAGACTCAGGATGGAGTTTGTGGGGATGTAGCTATTGTTGGCGGCGAAACGCTCAGACTCCGATGCGAGCTGCGCGAGGGTGTAGCGGCGGATCTGAGAGGGGGAAAGCCGTGCGGGGTGCATCTCTGCAGGGTTACGGAGGGAGGGGAGGGAGAGCTGGTAGGCTATGGTGGCATCGTCGTAGCAGGCAATGTCGAGGATGAGGCTGTCGGATTCATCTTCGAAGGCGTTGATGTGGTGGAAACTGAAAGGAATGGGGGAGTACCAAGGTTGGTCATTAGCTATGGTGTTACTTGCTTATTCCTGGCCAATTTTTCAACGAAACATAAAGGAAATATTACTCACGCAAAAGCAGCATCCGCCCGGTACGTCACAATATGTTTCTTGCTCTCTCTTGAGATGACGTAGAAGAGCGTCGGTTCTGACGGGGTGAACGTGAACGAGTCGAGAACGCTTTCATTCCACGCGAACTTAATACCGGCATAATTAGCGACCAGAGGAAAGACAACCTGAAAGTGTATACCAATGCAGAATCGACTTGTAAGCATCCTCGGCTATCTATCCACCCGTCAGCTCGTACAAAAATAAATTCGAACTGGTATTCTCCAAGGAACCCCCTTCACTCTCCAAACTGCTAACTCACTAGAACGATGTAACGCCTCGTGAGTGCGAAGCTGTGCACGAATGACGTCTTGGCAGTTACACTCGCAATGAGGCTCCCCGCCGGGTTTGCCTCTGACAGGGAGAAAAAGTTGTACGCTGTGGTCTGGTAACCGAGCTCCTGCGTGAAATTAATCCACTCGCCTGTGGCCGAGTCGTACTGCGGGTGTGGGCACGCCGTATACCCCTTAAAGGCGGGATTGTGCTGGTCCCAGCTGAAGAGGCGCGTCGGTTTAAGGTCGAAGGGGTCCAGCTCTTGAACCTAAAAGGAAGAAGGTTTTGGTTAGCTTTAAGACGAGCGAGTGAGCCGTTTAAGGGTTACAACAGTAGTACACGTTCGCGTAATAAGTGTCGTCTTCTCACCTGGCTGGCATTATTCAAGGAGAAGAGTCTCCCCTCGACACCCGGGATCTCTGTACTAATACTCGCATTGCAGGGTTCGTAGTCAGGCTTGGCGTGATTGACGCCCAACTTGATGAGCTTGACGAGAATGCTCTGGTTAGTATCTGTGCGAAACAGGCCGGCTGGATGCGAGGGAGCAAAGCCATGGTGGTCGCGGATCTTGGTGATTAAGCGCTTGCTTGTGAGGCGGGAGCGATAGGTAATCTGATTGGCGGGACCGTCGAGGTCAAAGCGGTTGACGAGAGGAAGACTGACATACGATCGGGATATGAGGTGGAGATGGTAAATACAGAGGAACCAGCCAAAGAAGGAAATTATATATATATACGCAAAAAGTAAAAGAAAACGGTGAAATCCAACTTACTTGTCAAACCAGTGACCAAAAGTGAAAGTAGAGGTGGCTGTCTCCAATAGGCCGTCAACCTCGATCTTGCGTGAGTATTTAATGTCATATGTGCCGGGACCGATGGTGAAGAGTTCGCCCTTGAGCCACTGCGGCAAAGCTCCAAGCAACTTGAGATCCACGGGATTTTCAGTCTCGCGGGCATTCTGAAAACCCTGAGTTACGAAAAAAATAAAATAAAAAAAAAAAATCGGGCGTAAGTCCATCTGTTCAAAATCACTTCCAGAACTCTTTCGTATCCATGCACTCTCCACGCTTCTTTATACCTTGAGTTGCGTCACATCTCCATCAGGTAGGTCCACAATCTCCTCTATTATATCCATCTGTTCGTTCGGATATTGTTCTTCCGGGTACTGTTCACCCGCGTACTCCTCTTGCCTCCACAGTTCGTACTGCTCCGTGTACTCTGCGCCCTCCTTCAGTGGGTGCTCGTAGTTAATCTCTCGTGTTTCCACAAGCTCGTCGTACTCCCCCTCTGCATTACCATACGCGTTCTCCGCACTGGTACCGAGGTTGGCTTCAGAGGGGACGCTTTCGATATAATCTTGTTCCTCGTAAGACACGTGGGCATTCCCACTGGATTCGGCCTCGACGTACTCTCGCTCCTCCTGGGCCTCGATAGTAGAATCAGCAGGGACAGTTTCAACGAAAACTCGTTCACGCTCCTGAGGCTCAGTGTGGATCAGAGCCTCAGAGGAGGGTGAGTTGTACTGTTCATGGGACATTGTTCGCGGAAGCCAGTGGGTATAAGGAGGAGAGAGTTTCTGGAAATTCTGCCTTGTCAAAATTCACGGGGACTGCTTCCGAATGCCGATTGGACAGTCACCATGTCGTAATATTTCAAATAAACACACGATCGCTTAAATAAAGAACTTATGCTACCAGAACAATGAAGCTGTTATGTATTGCGAAATAGGATATTTATAGTGCCACTATCTATGTCTTCATTCTCTATGGATCAATACAAATAGTCCCAACACTCCCAGCAGTATATATTTCAGCTGTGGGTAGTCGTTCATAATGATCGTGACCATCCCAATGTACGGCAGGAATCTATCATGAGAAAATAAAATAAAATAAGCAACGCTTCCATCATATACTTCTTCCCGCACAGCAAATCTCTTGGAAGAGAGTCTTGACTCAAACAAATAAATAAGGAACTAGAAACACTAACCCCCTCACTTTGCCCACCACATGATCCCTGTGAATCCACATCTGCCCAGGATTGTAAAGTCCACGGTCGTCCACCTGGTTATTGTCGCCCTTAGTCAGGAGAAATTGCTTGCCCGTCGCGAATCTAAATTTGTGAAAACGTTTGCCGCGTTTCGAACATGATCAATTACCACAAATTCGAGCAAATACCTGGCCCACCATGCATAAACAATCAAGCAAATAACGCACACCACACAAATAAGCATAGCCCCCGCAAACTAATAACTGCGTCGTTGCCTAACGAAACTCCGATCAAAACACTTACTCGTCATGCAACTTGATGACGCGATGTACAATCGGCACATCCCGCCCGGGTATTTTGAATACACAGATATCGCCAGCCTTCACCGGCTCATTAGCAGGCATGTTGAGGAAGAGAAGGTCGCCACGGTAGAACGCAGGTTCCATGCTGCCGCTGGTGGTAGGTTTTTGTTTGGGAGATAACAAGGAATTTGGAGTGATGATTATTATTATTTTTCAGGCAAATCATGTCGAAGTCGCCGAGTCATGGAAGAGATCGTTTGCTTGAACGTTTAGTTTGAACCATGTACCAGTGAAGTGTGATAGCGCAGGCTTGGAAGGCCAATCTTTCGATTGTAACTCTTCCCGTACATCTTTTTCTCTTTTCATTGATAACTTTGCCAAGTTCACCCATAGTATTATAACCTGAACAAACCACACTAAGTAGCGACCAGAAAATCCACCAACCTCAGCACGACAACGATCGGGCTCTCGCTATTTGTGTACAACGACAGAGCTTTCCAAATCATGAGCGCCGACGTAAGGATCATGATGAAGTTAAGGCATTGGTTCGCAATCTGCGTGATGTGCATATACATGAAGCAATAAGAATTCCCGATGGTCATTCATCGGCTCCATCTGAGTGTCTTTTTCTTTTCTTGACGCACCTGTCTCTTATTCATTTGTCCAAAGGCTTTGAGCTGATCAGCAATAGCGGCTATCATGGCGGGCAAGATGTCCGTACGGATACGAAGGCTAGAAAGGGGTGTGGACGTGTTGAGGAAAGACCGAGCGGCTTGTCAGTTTCTGACACGTTGAAAATAATCACGTGATTAATACACTCTGATATGCTATTAAATTAGTTACTTTTTTTATAAATACTCCAGCCACTACAATAAGGAAAATATCTTTAATTTTTTCTTTTTCTAATTATTTATTTTAAATTATAAATTATCATTTAGAAATGCACACTTCAGGTGATGATGAAAAAGAAATCTTCGACGTAATTATGTAGATTCACTGTTGGGAAAACAGATAGCAATAAAGCTGAATATTATAAGGCAGTGCGCAAAACCTTGAGATAAAGGGAAATAAAACTGTTTAGAACGATACACACATAAACAGTGAAGTGGATAGCGAATTCAAGAGCAAAAATCCACACAATAAAAAAGCGAGGTGATGGTGCATGTATATAATTAATTAAATTGAATTGAAGGTGCGATATCGCCAAGCTAACCATATTATCTAAACTGCCAAACGCATTATCTAATCTACCAAACGTATCAAATATTAATGCCAATACGAAAAGCAGTCGACAAAAACCCAAAGCTTGCTGCTGTTCACATATGGTGATTTCGTGGGATGCGAAAATCGAACAGTTTATAGCATTGTTAATTTAGTAAATTAAAATTATACTTATAACATTTGTTGCCAAGGCTACGGGGGCATGGTGTAGTGGTATCACGTTCGCTTTGCATGCGAAAGGCCAGGGGTTCGAACCCCCTTACCTCCATAATTATTTTTATTGTATTATCTTTTACTTAATTAAATTTGAGGCCATGGAGGCTCCACTCATCGGAATCAATTTGAATAGCCAAGTAGTTCGGGTTCACACCTTCTCTGGAGGACTTGATCCGACGACGTATACATACGAAATTTCCGCTGCATGTCCCTATTCCAAATTAAATATACCCCACGCTCAACCCTACGATCCCGACACGCTTTTGATCACGGAGCATTCAGACAGGTGGGAGATTGGTGTAGGGCAATCAAGAAAGCTGTGTACGAGAACGGACGTAATAGGATTGAGATTACTGGATAGTATGAAGCCGAAACCTGAGCAGTTTAGAAGGGGGACGCCGTTGTGCGTGAATCCGTGATTGAAGATTAGTTCGCCCATAGCTATTGCAATTTATATTGGAAAAACCTTTGCACAGTGATTTTCTGTTTCTTTTTATAAAAAACATTTTATTCGAAATAAAAAATAAAAATAAAATAAAAAAAAGCCCACTTTAAATAATCTTTACGTGAATAATAGCTACAATAAAAAACAGCAACTTAACGTCACTTGCATTACAAACAAGTATCCCTCATCAACTTGCTACGTGCCTCCTCATCTTACTGCTTCTTCACCTTGACTTCCTGCTCGCTGAACCTTGCTGCTATCTCCCTTCCCGGCACGACAAGCCGTGCTCCGTTCGGGATAACAGCGCTGACCTCCAGTCGTTCTGTTTTATATGCGCAAAACTAGAGAAGGGCTCAATCAACCAGTACAGTACTGTCTTGGAGAAGGTCATGAGCGCACTACTAAAGCCGATTAGACTGGCGTAGGGGATACGACGGTGGAGGAGGTAAAGTTAAGAGCCGTTTCGACAATATTCATGGCCGCTGTGAGAGGAACAAGAAGACCATCGCTCATTTTGTTGGGAGGAGTACACTATTGCCGTGTGTCTTGCGCAAGCGCGGTTTTTGATACGAATGAGGCATATACCTTAAGCACCAGTAAATCGCCGGAGTTATAAGCCATCCAACCATATTGAAGATCAACCTTTAGTAACATTACCATATCATCATCTACTCTTCAGCATGTAGCACACAAGAGATGGCTAGAACTTTTGAAAATCAAGAATGTAGTTCGCACCTTCCCGTAGAGCTCATATGGAGCCCAGATCCATGCCAAATCGCCTCCAAGGTACATAGACCACGGCCTACAATCATGGTGAATCAATCGTTCTGACCTTGAAAGATTGCCCCTGGATGGCATGCAATGCAACTGTAGCAGACTTAGCATCGTATTAAACATTTTACCTGAGCAGGCAGTATCCGATATCCCATATCATAAGCAACGAAGAGATAAAAATCCAAGCCGGAATCCACGATGGGACCTTGTAGAGGGTGGAGGTGGTCATGACGGTGTGAGATAGCGTTGTAGCAGGACGAGAGAAAAGGAGGTGATGGGTAATTTATAACGCATTCATTTTATGGGTGTATGGGACCTTGTGCTCATCCAAATGTATAAAAGGTTTGCCAGCCCTAGTGCTCGTAAATAAACTTTCGAGTTTATGGGCAAAGAATTTTTGCTTATTTAGCTATTTACTCTCAAAGAAGGAAATGGTTTTCATTTTAGATCTGGGTTTGAAGTTAATTATCCCTCATTCGCCGGGCACACCGTAATCAAGCTATTGACAAACCTTATAGATTCAAAAGGCAGTTTGATTTTACTCCTGTAGTTTAAAGATTGTCATAATTTTCATTCTGGGAATCTTTTACTCTTCCGTCTTGATTCAGTGATGCCTTTGCCCACCTTCTGCGGTGGTACTCCAAAATAAATAAAAAGAGGTGTGGTCACTAAAATCGTTGGTATTATATCTTCCTCGTAGATGTGACATATTATGTCTTGGTGCATTGTAATTACATTAGCTAGCAAAAATTCGTATTGGAATTATCTGTGATGATGACGTCATACACATCATCAAGCTATTAACGATTTCGCAGGTGGATTCATGGGACCTTCCCTTTGAAAGCAATCTTGTCAGGTATGTCTTTTAGACGCCGACAGTTATCCATCCATCCATCCGTCTTGAGATTTAATCCATCGATATAGTCGACACACGCTTTTGGTGTCTTCAGGGCTTTGGAAGAAGGATGCTGTTGTCCAACAAGCTAGAGAGGCTGTGGGGTGTAGCTGTACAGCGGGGGGCTATTTGATCTGTGAGGAGTGCCCTTATAACGTGTGGATGTGGCGGAATCATTGGACGGAGCATGGATGACATTGTGGGGGTAGTGTGGCTGATGCGCATGTCTTCGCGGCGGCATGGAAGTTCATTTTGACACGGCTAGAATTATTATTGCCCACGGATGCAGCGAAACTTATTATTTGCATTACATTTCTACCCTTGGGTTGACTTTCCCTCGCGCAGGTTATACATACCAACAAGCGCCATGTCTAAATCCAAGAATCACACCAACCATAACCAGAGTATGTTGTTATTCACTCTTTTTGATGATTTTTCTTCCGGCGAATGTTGCTCTCTTGGGTATTGGGAATATCTTTCTTATCCTATGAGGGTTTTCTTTCTCGTCCGTTTTGCACATAACAGACAAAAAGGCTCACCGTAACGGTATCAAGAAGCCCAAAACGAACACGTACCCCTCTCTCAAGGGTGTAAGTATAGCCAACTTCCTTGTATTGTAACGAATAATGTGGTTATATGTTGCGGGGTTTTCAGCGAGGATACTCGACAAACTCTGAAAGAACGCGTGTATTGCGTACTTTGTCAGGTCGAACCCAAGTTTCTGCGAAATCAACGTTTTGCTAAGGGCAACGCCCGGAAGATCGTTCCTACGGTGTGATCAACGAACGACACGCACACATTCCCCATTCCGAAACACTCTAGATGGACGACGTTGAGCGCAGGGTCAACGTGGTGTGTACCCAAACCTCTCAATAAATAATTTGCGCAAATCCAAGGTAGTGAATATCACGGAACATAGATATCTATCTATTGAGAGAAGAGGATTACTGACTGTCAGTTTGTAGTGATTGAGGAAACGAAAATGATGTACCAATGAAAACTATTGGAGAATTGCTCCGAGGTTGTTTGGATATGAGAGTGCACGGCACCGCATGTATATATCCAAGCGGGGGGGGGGTGGAGGTGCATAAATTGAAAATAGGTGTGGATGGCCATGTGGAACACAAGTTGGCGGGCAATGAAAAATGAATTCTTTGTAGCCAGGACTTGAAAGCTGCATGCATGATAAAATTATTATTACGTGGGACTTTGCAGATTATCTGTTGATTAAATGGTGCTTGTGCTATAGTAATTATTTTGAAGTAAAAAGTAGTTAAATATTTGTAGTAAAATGTTTTCTCAAATACCATTGCCTTTCGTGACACCACAGGCTTGGGGGCTTGGGGGGGCGTGCAGGCCTGCAGGGCTTGGGATTGCAGCCGGGCAGTTTGGGCGGCTTCCTGTTTTCCCGGAATGCGTCATTGTTCCAATGGAGCGTGACTGCGTGACCCGGCGATTTGAGATCGTTGTGGCCAAGGTTCATGGACCTCGTCCGCACACACACATCCATTCAACGCCCGCAGAGCCCGGTTCATGATCAGTTTTTTTTTTTTCCAACTGCGGGATTTTCGGACCTATAGCTTTATGAGCTCGGAGGATGGTGAGAATAGCAGCACGGCGGGGACTGGCATATCGAGAGAGTTTCGAGAGAAGAAGAGAAGAGAAAGAAAACTTTATCGATTCTCTCAGGAGGACTGTTTATCGGACGATTTTTGACGCTTCGCCCGATCATATCTTTCTGTTCCCCCAGGGGGCCAAACCCGACTCCCCGTCCCTTGCCCCCCCCCCCCTTCCCTCGCTCGTTCGTGCGTAGCCCTGTGATGAAGTTTCAGGCGACTTCTATCTTTCCCATCTCCCTCTAGTCATAATTCTCCATCCAAATCGCCTTACCACAACTATCCGTCTTTCCTTATCGTGCATTCTTTTTGACACCTCCTTCGTTAAAAACTTTACACACTTTTTTTTTTTTTTTTTTTTTTTTTTTTCCCCTCTCCCCCTTTTTTCACGAAATGAGCACACCTCGCGCTGAGCGCCCGGGCTTCGCTGCCAGAAAAACATCCTTTTATCACGAAATCCCATCTTCCGTTACGCACTGGAAGCAAACGAACACTTCAAATATGCCGCATTCCGGCTCTTCATCTTTTGAAACTTCCTTCGACATTGTCGAACCGAACCCGAAACGAGTTGCGACAGCCGTCGTCAACCACAAGCCTTACATTCCCGAGAACACTGTTCCGCGGTATTTTCAACCCATTGTCCTTCACCAACAGCAAGATGAGCCGACCTTTTCGGCCCAGTCATCCTTGTCTTTGGATTTGAACTATGACGAACCCTCGACCCCGATAACCCCTCTCCAACGCCGGTCGCAGGCACATTATCTCGACCAATTCTCTCCCCTCCACGACCCCCCGACTTTTCAAGATCCTAATGAAAGCGCCAACCAGCTCTATCCCGTGCGCAAGCAATGTACCGATTCGAATCGCGATGCACTAGTTTTCGCTGTTCTCGAGCAGTATGACCCATTTTCCTTCTCCGATGTTATATACATGGAGGACGTGGAGCCGACTGCACAAAGGGCAACGATTCTTGAAGCACCGGTGTCGGAGCCTCTGAATATTGCTATGGACCTAGACTATGCCTCTTTCATTTCAAATAAAAAGCGCTCCCGGTCGCACATGGACGGTGCTGATGAGGTCTGCGGCCCGCCGAAAAAAATCAAAGGTCTCTCTTGCCCCACGCTTGACGTATTTCCCACCTTCATTTCCAACACCTATGCTTCCCACCTCCATCCTTCTCTCGCGCCGACCGTTCTCGAATTGCATGATGTTCCGGAGCTCAGCATCCCTCCCCCGCCGCCGTCGCCCACTTTCTATTCGCCAATTCCATTGCGGCGTACCAAACATCAAGATCATTTCCTTGATGACATGAGCTCCCTCTA